ACAACTTTGCTAGAGTTGCAACAGCACATATTCATATAGCTATATGACAACTTTGCTGGAGTTGCAACAGCACATATTCATATAGCTATATGACAACTTTGCTGGAGTTGCAACAGCACACATTCATTTAGCTATATGACAACTTTGCTGGAGTTGCAACAGCACATATTCATTTAGCTATATGACAACTTTGCTAGAGTTGCAACAGCACATATTCATATAGCTATATGACAACTTTGCTGGAGTTGCAACAGCACATATTCATTTAGCTATATGACAACTTTGCTAGAGTTGCAACAGCACATATTCATATAGCTATATAGCTATATGACAACTTTGCTGGAGTTGCAACAGCACATATTCATTTAGCTATATGACAACTTTGCTAGAGTTGCAACAGCACATATTCATTTAGCTATATGACAACTTTGCTGGAGTTGCAACAGCACATATTCATATAGCTATATGACAACTTTGCTAGAGTTGCAACAGCACAGTGTGCAGATGTGGTGGGTATGATTATATTTTTAAAAAGTTTTGTTGAGATATCTGGGGTGACCCCCAAAAAAAAAAAAAAAAAAAGATTTCGCTGTCATTGTGACATCATAATAAACTTATGATGATGTCTTTTTGCTCTCTGTGGCTGGATAAAGCCCTGTTTTCTTGGTGAAATGGATGGAAAGTAGCTATTACTTTACTTTACATTTAGCGACTACTTTCCTTCATATCGAAAAAAATTTCTTTTTTTTTTTAAAAACCAAAATAGTGACTCTCATATGAAAAATCTATCATTTTAATGATTTGGGGACTATAATGACGCTACAGCTAGCAGGCCTGCCTGTCTGCTCAGTGGATACAGGTTTCAACCCCGTGGAGTTTTATTACAAAAAACTGACCAAGACTGCAAATTTCTTCTGCTTCTTCTTCTCTTCCTCTAGTTTCTTAGGGCGGTGTCAGAAAATCATAATAATGCGCTTCTTTTTTGAAAAAGTTCATTTTAAAAGATGTTTTGTGCACGAAAGAGTTAATGGAAACACCACAGCAGGCTAATATCCTCATTTAATTAGATGTGTGTGCTGCCAAACTTCAGAATTAAGTACTTGCCTGGGCTGATGTCATTGATGTATTCAATAAAATACCTCAAATGTACAAAATCACCACTTACTCACAACCTCTCTAATAAAATGATATGTTGTAAAAATGGCAATCAAAAACAAAATAAAAGGTGAACTTCTCTTTTCACGAACAACAATTAAGCACATGTTAATTGTTTTTTTTTTAATGTTATGGTCAATACGTCATAACCTACCTTAAATTATACACAGGAGGTTTTTTTTTTTTTTTTTTTAAATGTGATCAAATATATAAGTTTCATAGAAGCCAGAAATATCTTGATATGCCAGATATACAATTCTGTACAGTATGCCAGGAAAATGCTACAGTTGAAAACCATTCTGTCTTGAATTCCATACATCTTGAAGTACCAACATGGTGTGTTCATGTTAATCCAGCAGCATCATACTACAGTACATAGTTTGTTTTCTAAAACTTTGACAATTTATGAAGGTGTGTGTGAGTGTGTGCGAGACTTTAAATGAACACATATGATATACATAAGTGCAAAGTCTCCGTGCTGAGAGCATACAAGGGGAAGCTGAGCCCAGTGCATGAACTCCATAGCACTGGTGAGGATTCAAACTGTATAAGAGAGCCAATCATACATACCATAAATATTCATTTAAAGATGAGTTTTCTCACTGTGAAATTTAGCTTGGACACTGGTCCATTCAGATTGTCAGCTCCTGGGAAACTGTAAAAATATACAATTTGTGAATAGGTCCAAAGAGAAGCGACTGGCTGAGCGGTTACAACATCAGGCTTTTCGCCCTGGAAAGGTGATGGAGTTGTCCTGTCGGGGGCAAAATTACACACCTTAACCTGCACAGTCTGTGGCAACAGCCCTAGCCAGGCAGCCCTAAATGCTCAGGCTCAGCCCCCCCCCCCCCCTTCCTGGCTACACTATACTAAAAAGTGGTAAAACAGACAGTAGTAACAGAGCAGGTCATCTGAGATATTCATCCTAGCCAGAGAAAAGTGGATAAGAAAAAGCTTGGTGGTCCCCATGTGGGGCGACATTTTTCGATGTTTTGAAGTCCCACCCTGGCTTTTGCCGGGGGTCCCAATATAGCCTGATGGTTGAGAGTGGTTTCTGGGACCTCTCCACGTTTGATCCTCATCCATATGGTGGCATTTTGTGTCACCGGGTGTTTATCGCTCTCTGTGATGTCCTGGTGGGGCAGCATTTACTTACTAAAAGTGGATATCTCAGGATAAAGTGTATACAATAAACAAACATCATTTTATTGACTGACACTTACAGAAAGAAGAAGTACTTAGTGACTCAAAGAATATGCTAAAAAAAATACAGGCTAGGTTCATTAGACAAGAACAGAGTGCCACACAAAGCACTTCACAAATGGCTGGCATAACCTTCACCTTTGTGCCAGGTCATGCTAGTTTTCAAGGCTATGAGTATACAGATTATCTTGAAGTCACTAGGGTTGCTATGGGGTGGTCCGATTCTGGGCGGAAGCCCTGTTATCACTGCCAGGCACATCACTTACTGCAAAGACAAATATGGCAAATTGGCATGACTTCCCATCCCTGTCTAGGCTGATGGACATGGGGAGTGCTACCTGGAGCAGCAAGACATGAACATTCCACCAAGGAAACAATCTGATTAATCAACACAGAACAGGCATCATCTGTCATTTTATACTGGTGGAGCTTTGGAGGAGACCACAGCACCTACAGATCTGCCCAGTGTGCTGTGATGATAATTCTCATTAATCACTTAACTAAGAAAAAAGCAGGGAGACAGCAGGACACAACAGACAACACAGAAATCAAAAGGCTAAAGTTACCTTGCCAGGTATCAAACCTGTCACTTCTAAAAGACAACAGCAACTCGAAGGCACAAGTGTGCTTCGATGCATAACCACCTCAACACCTCCAAAAGACAACAGCAACTCGAAGGCACAAGTGTGCTTCGATGCATAACCACAACGCCTCCAAAAGACAACAGCAACTCGAAGGCACAAGTGTGCTTCGACGCATGAACACTTCAACACCTCCAAAAGACAACAGCAACTCGAAGGCACAAGTGTGCTTCGATGCATAACCACCTCAGCACCTTCAAAAGACAACAGCAACTTGTTGAAGGCACAAGTGTGCTTTGACGTATGACCACCTCAACACCTCTAAAAGACAACAGCAACTTGTTGAAGGCACAAGTGTGCTTTGACGTATGACCACCTCAACACCTTTAAAAGACAACAGCAACTCGCTGAAGGCACAAGTGTGCTTCGACGTATGACCACCTCAACACCTTTAAAAGACAACAGCAACTTGTTGAAGGCACAAGTGTGCTTTGACGTATGACCACCTCAACACCTTTAAAAGACAACAGCAACTCGCTGAAGGCACAAGTGTGCTTTGACGTATGACCACCTCAACACCTTTAAAAGACAACAGCAACTCGCTGAAGGCACAAGTGTGCTTTGACGTATGACCACCTCAACACCTTTAAAAGACAACAGCAACTTGTTGAAGGCACAAGTGTGCTTTGACGTATGACCACCTCAACACCTTTAAAAGACAACAGCAACTCGCTGAAGGCACAAGTGTGCTTCGACGTATGACCACCTCAACACCTTTAAAAGACAACAGCAACTTGTTGAAGGCACAAGTGTGCTTTGACGTATGACCACCTCAACACCTTTAAAAGACAACAGCAACTTGCTGAAGGCACAAGTGTGCTTTGACGTATGACCACCTCAACACCTCTAAAAAAAATGTGTCATTGTTAGCCAGGTTTATCAAAGAGCTTAAACCTACAACTAACTATGGAATAAGGACAGAATTTACTTCCAACCATCAAAATAGCACAACAGATTACAAACATTTCTATTACCAAGCTTATGTTGTTTTACATGTCTATTTGTGTATTACATACTCTGTTCCTACAGTCCCAAGGGTCCCAAGCCTGTTTACAGTCGAGTCCACTTAAGTCAAACTCAGATAAGTTGAATTTCGGTTAAGTCGACATGACCAGCTTAGCCCAGCAATTTTCTCTACTGTGTGTGCTGTCTGGATAAGTAGAAATCCTGATAAGTGGAAGCATTTTCTTAGGTCCCTGCGACTTCTACTTATCCAGACTCGACCTATTTCTGTGTCTATTCGACGATAAGATGGAATTTTTAGCTTTTTTTATTTACAAACCAAACAAAGTTTTTGTGAGCCAGACACAGTTATGTAACCTCTGACCCACTCTACTGATAATACTAATTGGCTATGAAATAAATTCAATGCAGAAGCCATTTAAAAATAACAACCTCTGATAAGCACAGTTTTCTAAATGCACAACAAAACAAACCCTTTCACAATCTGTTGTCATTTAAAACCCTCGCTTATTAGGTCTTTGTAAGCCAGAGGTGGATTTGTAGCCTCCGAGCCACTCCACTCGTAATACTAATTGGCCATGAAATAATTACAATGTAGAAGCCATTTAAAAACAACACAAACCTAAACCTCTCAAAAACATAATTTTCTAAATGCACAACAAAACAAAATATTTCACAATCTGATTGATGTCATTTAAAATCTTGGCTATAAAACATTACACACACACAAAAATATTTAACATCTGGAAAACAAGTGCCAAACAAACTCATAAATAACTTGAAAATTTTATAAAAATAACTTTTATAGAGCTAGTTTACAAATAAAGCAGAAATGATTCTTTGGAAAAATTCAAAATAGAAATGTAACATTCAAGGACAACCATAATATACATTGATTTATCTATAAACAGAGTGAGTTATATCATCTCTTTTACTGGTTTAATCTTTCCTGAAACTTAAATATCAAGCATAAAGGATAAATATATAACAGTGCCTATTTCTTTTCCAATGAAATATAAACTAAAAACACTTAGAACACTAGATGTGTATGCCATTGCTTTCCTCTACAACAGCGCCATTTCTGTGTCGTATACTATTGCCATCACCACTCACAATTACTTTTGGGCAAATCTCTGACTGAAAATCTGGCACATCACAGGTCCTGTGCAAATTCCGCCATTCTCCATTGTTGAGAGCACATCCATGACACTCCTCTTTGCCAGCTTGTTTCTGCACTCCGTTTACGCACTGTGTGTCTAGCTTGTTGCGAACAGACACATGGAATAACCAAACAATGACAGCATTGGCCAGAATGACACAGGCCAAAATTCCCCAGGTGTTGAGGAAAGTGGGTGCCTCCATCCGACGTATGTTAGCTATTCCATCCGTCATGTCGAGGTACAGAGCATTCAGCTGCTCATAAGTTGTCATCAATATGCAAATGTGGAAAATCTGATGGCTGTGGCCAATTATATCAAACCAACCTGGCAAGAAAGAAAAAAAAAGAAATTATCACTACCACTGAACCAACTAACTCTTCAAACAAACAAAACTATTTAAAAAATAGGACATTGCAGCAATAAGTAATCACCAGCAAATGAAGTTTAAAGTCATGATAAGCTAATTCACTGCACTGGCGCCACATGTAGGTTCCAGAGAAACAAGAACAGACGTAGTGCCTCCCAAAAAACCTGCAGTAAAAGTCAACTAATTGGGGGGGAGGGGGGGGGGGGGGGGGGGGGGGGGGGGGGGGTTTAATTCCTTTAAGTCAAAGTGCATTTGCCTGAGAGGCGAGAAACCAACAGTCTGCATATAAATAAGCCAGATCTTTAAAACTGGATGTGCATGCAAGGCTCAAGTTCTAGAACAAAATTAAAGTCTAGAAGTGGACAATCAACTAGAACTGTTGGCCTGAATTTATAGCTGATAAAGATTAAAACGAAGAAGAGAACACACTGGCTTTTAACCGATATGGCCTGGTCTCTCCTTCACAGAATGGCCAGCCACCTGCCAAGAGTGTCAAAGAAAGAATGAGCCTCTGTGAATATCTCCAGAAACCATTTTACAAACTGCTCTCATAAACCGTACAAACGTCTGTAAAAATGAACCCACAACTTTCAGAAAGTGAGGCAAAAAGCTTAAACTAGCCCTTCCCCCAATCATCGCAAACTGCAAAAACAAAACAAAAAGTAATATGGTAATTAATTGCAGTTACAACTTCACAGTAAATGGGTTACCCCACAGTATGAAAACCATTCAGAATGTCTGTCTCATTCAGAATGTCTGTCTCTATCCCTTGTGAAAAAAAAAAAAAACACAACATGCTGACGGAAAACACAAAGGTAACACTGGCAGCTGTCACAGAAGCAACACAGAATGCTTGAAAAGAGCAAGAATACAAACAAGAACAAGTGAGGTGGTTCCAATAAAATAATTACCTGGGAAGAAGCGCTGTGGGATGTCAGATCCAAAGAAAAACCCACCCAGTGTGAACCACAGCATTTGCTGGAGATGGTGCTGAAAGCTGGACTCCCACTTGTTGTCATGGACGTAAAGCCAGATCTTGTACCTGGGTTTACATTCAAAGGTTTTATGCAAAGATTAAATATGGTCAAAAGCGGAAAGGAGTAAAAATTAAACTTTCAAAAAATATATATTTCTTTTCCAAAACAACTGCCAAGGAATTTTTTTTACGTGCGCAACAATACACATGGGTGTCCAATCTTACTACCCAGAGACCAGGGGAAATTACTAGAAGTCCACATGAGAAAATCCAAGCCTTCGCCGGGATCTCAACCCGGGACCTCCAGCACTCGAGGTGGCCACCATGCCTCAAGACCACTCAGCCCCCTGCTTCTATTAGGTCATTCCTATGGTTACCCAGGCAACCGCAGTTCATTATGCTTTCTGAACCGTCAGCTCTTGGTACCACTGTCAAAACCAACACAAGAAAAATCGTCTGTAGCTGGGATAAAACCCACTACCCTGGCATTATGAAGCGTGTTCGCAACGCTAAAGCCACAGACGCTGATAAAACAAAGTGAAGCAATTAAAATAATCTTTCCAAGAGAAATACAGACACATTAAAAATATACATATATACACAGTAAAGTAAAGGACCCTAATCTTTTTCTTATTCTTTGCGTTCAGTTTCATATGCTCAAATCAGACCATCAGGTGAGTTGCCTCTATGAACTTGCATGTCAACAGCAGGTCCTTCGTGGTTCCCCATAGCTTGCTCTGCACACTTTGCTCTTGAAGCCAGGTGTCTTTTCGAATGGACCCTAATCAACACCAGGCATTTGAGGCTAGGCTTCTATTCTCTTTTACAGATCAAGTGGCACACGACAGGTGGTATGGTCAATATTCTGCTGGGCACATGATATTTCCTGGTACCAGGCTGGGTCGAGCTGCAAGCCAAGGTCAGTTGAGTTAATTCAAGAACCAAATCCAATACCTATGGTGCCAGTAGCATCAGGATTATAAGTCCATCATGCCTTTCCTCTGAGTTTTGAGTATTTGCCAGATCTCCCCCCTCCACCCGTCACTCCCACTGAATCACTCTCACCAGACTTTAGTGATCATTTGCTCCTTCAAATAGTACACGTTCTCCCACAAGGCTCCAACCACGTCTGCCTTATCTTGCATCAATATTCCACCAAGTTGTGCAGAGCCAGCAACTCTGTTCACCTGTCCATTTCCCAAAGTAAGTTTTGTTGTCCAAACCCAGCTGGTGGGGATTCAAACCTAGTACCTACAAGCCACTAGGATATCATGGTTGATATGAACAATTCCTGGCAATAAATTATGTGGCTTAAATCTATGTATCTTCTGTGTTGAAATTTACAAAACAGGGAAACTACTCTGACTTACAAAACTGGAAACTGTAACCATGTATAAATTGACAGCACCGAGGACATCTGCCAAATGCGACGACTGAAAGGGTAGGGCCTGGTATACTTCGTTTTGGAGATCGTACAACAAATGCACACCAACACGCCAAGAACTGCCCCTACAGGAATGGCAATCTGGTAACAAAGTGCAGACGAATCAGATATTGAAAGTGAAAACCAAACCTTAAACAAAAAGTCGCCATCTTTCATTAACAATTTTGCTTCTCCATGTGTGGTTTCCACAGCCCCATTTTGTGGGAAAACAATAACAGATTCACTGCCAAACAAACAAAACAAATTAAAAAAGGTAGGCTGTGTATCCTTTATATGATGTTGTAGAACCAACCCCAACATTTTTTTTTTTTATGTTGTGATTTTTCTAGGCAAATTTTAGATTCAGTAGTTTACCAGTAATTTATAAGCGGTTAACTCCCAGTACCACTGTCGAAGCCAACTGCCAAACTGCCTGAAGCTGGGATCAAACCCGACACCCTGGCACTACAAAGTGTGTTCGCAATGTCTAAGCCAGACGCTGACTTCCCCTAACAAGCATGACATAAAAGGTGACTTATTAGGGGCTGGCTGAAAACAGATGAGTTGTGCCGAAAAGTACAGATATCGCAGCCTAGCTGTAAACCATAACACAATATGCTAATCAACCTTTCAAGGGTGAACGCTGAACAGTGAAGAAATTAACGATGCTGACACTTTTTTGCAACAATATTTCAGATTATCTTTACATATACAAAGGTAACAGTCTAACAGCAGAAAGTGGTGTTGAGGTCAGAAATATAAAGCCTTTATACAGTCTTATAGAAAGTGGTGTTGAGGTCAGAAATATAAAGCCTTTATACAGTCTTATAGAAAGTGGTGTTGAGGTCAGAAATATAAAGTCTTCATACAGTCTAACAGCAGAAAGTGGTGTTGATGTCAGAAATATAAAGTCTTTATACAGTCTAATAGCAGAAAGTGGTGTTGAGGTCAGAAATTAAAAGCCTGTATGCAGTCTAATAATAGCAGTGTAATGATGTTATAAATAGGGATAATGTCAGGGGATGATTGGCATAATTGGGGAAGTCCCTGAGAGCATGGGTTTCACGGAGATATGGTGAAACGACAGGAAAGAGTGAGTCACGTGTGAATGAGGAGATCTGGGGGATTGAGAATCAGGCGGTCATTCGGTGACTGGGCCCCAGAGAGAAAGGATGGGAAATGAAGCTGTGAAGATGAATGGAGAATGACTAGAGCATGTGGATCTGAATCGGCGAGGAATGAATGATCGAGAAGGCCAGCTGTGATGGTACCCTGTGTGATTGTCAAAGCCAGCTGTGAATATGTCAACGTCTATTGTCCGAATGCTGTAAGTGGATTCACCTGTGATTTGTGTATTGAGCTAACGTGTAAATAAACTCGTGAAATGTGCCGCTGGTGTTAACCGTTGTTAGACGTTGTGTGACCGTGAAGAGGATCATGTCTGCTTTGATTGAGTTGTGAACCTCTAGACATCAGAGCCAGTGTTAACTCTGCACCACAGATAGCCAGTGTGGAGGAGACACAAAAGGGCAGTCATTACAAGCAGAAAGTGGTGTTAAGGTCAGAAATAGAAAGTCTTTATTCAGTCCAATAGCAGAAAGTGGTGTCGAGGTCAGAAATATAAAGCCTTTATATAGTCTAATAGCAGAAAGGGGTGTTGAGGACAGAAATATAAAGCCTTTATATAGTCTAATAGCAGAAAGTGGTGTTGCGTTCACAAATATAAAGCTTTTATACAGTCTAATAGCAGAAAGTGGTGTTGAGGTCAGAAATATAAAGTCCTTATACAGTCTAACAGCAGAAAGTGGTACTGAAGTCAGAAATATAAAGCCTTTATCTAACATTAAGAAGAACTTAGAGGCTGTGGAGATGTGGTTTTAGAGACGCTACGGATACCGTGGACAGACAGAGTGACTTACAATGACTGCCTGGAAATGGGTAACGAAATTAGTATTCTATATATATATATATATATATATATATATATATATATATATATATATATATATATATATATATATATATATATATATATATATATCTGTGTGTGGCATCTGTGGCTTAGGCACTGCAAGTCTGACATGTAATTCCAACATACCACGATCGAAACACACTGCTGGCTGCTTGAATTTTTATCATGGTATGGGGGTGTCACAGGTCGACCCAGCCTAAAATGGGTACCAGGATGGCTGTCCTGGGAAAGTAAAGATGGTCAGCATAATGCTGACCACATTACCCACCTAGTGCCGATGGTCAGTAAAAAATATGGGCACTCTTCCCATATGCCCGATACGCCTAAAAGCATGAAAAGATCCGTACTTATACTATATATATATCTGCAAATCAGACAATACATCATGATCTTGAAATCTAGGCCTTACAAACTCACTGTGGATCAGTCACAGTTATGATGGTTTGGACATATATGTAGAATGGGAGAAATTTGGCCACCAGGACAGGCATGGCAGGCTAAGAAACATGGTGCCAGACCTCCAGGATAACCAAGGGTTCACTGGGAAGGCAACATCTGGCAGTCTTTTAACAAAGCCAACAAGAAAACTGCAGATAGAGAAATGTTTGGTGATCTCTCCGACAAACTTTAACACCCCAGAGTAAAAAGGATCAACTAAGTAAGTAAGTAAGTACCATCCAGTAACAACTTATTTATTAGTTGTGTATCCTTTACAGGACATTGCAGAACCAACCCCAACACTTTCTGGCTGTTTTGATTTCTCTAGGCAAATGTACGTCCAGTAGTTTGCCAATCCAGTAACAATGTCTAAGCATAAAAACTATACACGCTGCAACATTAACATAAAACATAAAGTTACATATTTTATCTGTTTAAAATACATAAATTACAACTTTAGTCAAACTAATATAAACACACATATTATTATAAATGAGAAACCCCACCCCCCCCCCCCCCCCCCCCACCCACCCACTCACCCCCCTTCCCCAAATAATTAAGGTGTTTGTACTCATCAAAAAGTGTATAAAAAGGTGCTGATACTCCCAGATCTATTAAAGTAGTGCTGAAAAAACAAACCATGATGCCAGAGAGAAAAAAAAGGTGCAGGAAGTGTGCACCGCTGCATACAGAAAAAAAGTCTGGTGTTTACTAATTCTGTACTTACCTTATCTGCATTGCTAACAATAACAGGCATGATAAAATATATGACACAGATCAGACAGAATACTGACCTGGTGAGACAAGGAGCCCAGTAGATCCTCGTGCAGGCAGTACCACCAGTGCACCATGTTGCTACCAAACCCATACAAGCCAATTCCAGCGTAGTCTATCATAAAACATGTATAATGCACCAACTCAGACCTGCAGAGTATCAAAGAGGAAAGTAGAGTGGTTGAGCTCTCTTCATGAGACAAGCAGACTAAGACACCAGTCATTCTAATTCTAAGACAAGCAGAGAAGTTAAGATACTAGTCATTGTTATCATGAGACAACTGGTTAATGGGCTGTTCTGTCAGGTTTGCATTAAAAACCACATAAATACAAAATAATATTTTGATTTAGTAAGACTGATATACCCCCCCCCCCCCCCCCCCCCCCCCTTTAACCCAATCCCACATAACCTGTAAAGAGGACCCACCAACCAACAATGAAAAGAATTTCTCTTTAAATTTTTGGTTACACATTTCAAGTTATTTCAAATACTTTATTTATTTGCCATTTAGCACATTATTATTATCATTTTAGCTACACATCAAAACAGGGTTCAGGTCTAGTAGGACAGCCACCCCTTCCCTTTTGTGCCAGACTGTGGCTAGACAACCTTAACTACTTCAGGTACTGTCCTGTATGTCCTTCAGTCCCGTACGGGAATTTAACAAAAGTGTTATATTTCAACCCTTTCTATCCGGGGTTAATGATTAAGTGGTTTAAGGAGCCATATTGCAGATGCAATCCACCAGGACCACATCCTAGACACCCCGAAAACAATTAAAAGCATCCTTGGGGTGGGGGGGGGGGGGGGGGGGGGGGGGGGGGGGGGGAGACGGACGATTTATGCCAATGTGAGTGGGTCCTGTGAAAGTGCTGTCTAGTCTAGTTCAGTGTTCCTTACGTCCACGGCTGCCAATAGAGTTTTGATCAAAACCCAAGCTAAGCTGACTCACAGACACACACAAAAACCAAGTAATACAAAAGCAAAGAACGACAATTTCAAAAAAAAAAAAAAAAAAACCTAAGAACGATAAAAAATACAAGTTTTATAGTCACTACACGACACATTTACACCCCCCCCCCCCCCCCCCCCCCCCCCCCCGCTTTTTTAAATATATATATTTTTTAAAAACCCAAGATTCCAAAATATGAACCCAAGGATTCAAATAAAAACCCAGATCGGGGGGGGGGGGGGCGGGGGGAATGGGGGTATTGGCAGCACTGCTTATTGCTAGGGTTGCGACTAACTGCAGTTTAACAGTTACCCGCCAAAACATAAATTTTATAAATAAGTAAGAAAACTGTTCATGAAAACACTGAGGGGAACAATTCATTAATTCTCGTGTGTACTTGATTACTCTGACGATAACCAAATAAAGATAACAACAGTAAATCATAATGGTTTAAAGATTCAGTCAACTAATAATTACTGCTTTTCTGGCAAAGTTGGATTAAGGTACGGCAAAATTCTCAAAGAAAATACATAAGGGATATAATTCAATGCCTTTTTTTTTCAAAGGGAGATAATACTTGTCAAATTTACTTTTTATTTCAATTTCTGTTATTTTTATTCCGCCTTGAAAACCTAGCTAAATTGTAAAATAATTATTTTTGACTTTTAAACTAAACACAATCTAGAACTAAAAAACTTGCATGCAATTAACACATTTATTTTATCTGTTTAAAAACATTCTGCAAAACATAATGTTCTATTGTAAAATCCTTGCATTTTAGAAATGTCCTTGGCATTTTTTAACAAAATATGCTACGTTTCAACTTCACGGGTCAAAACCCCATAATTGCTTTAATATTTATTTGAATGGCCTTCACCGAAGGCCATAATGAATTAATGTCATATCCCCCACCTACTCTTTCAGCCACGGCGTATGTCAGAACCCTGAGATGGCATCATGACTGGGCTCCAGGAGATCTATCTTATTTGTTAAGCGGCAAAATGTTGGAGGTTTAATATTTACTTGAATGGCCTTCACCGAAGGCCATAATGATCTAATGTCATATCCCCCACCTACTCTTTCAGCCAAGGCGTATGTCAGAACCTTGAGATGGCATCATGACTGGGCTCAAGGGGATCGATCTTATTTGCCACGTGGTAAAATTTTGGAGGTTCCAGCAGTCTCAATGCCATGCAGAATCAATCAGGTGCCGTCTCCACAATGAAGGTTGGCTGCAATGGATCTCCAACAAGCCCTGTCTCTTGCCCTTGATGTACTGCTGTTCGTCCATCTCTTGATGTTATCCTCCCACTTGTAACGCTGTCTGCCTTTTGCTTGCCTACCTTGAACCTTTCCCTCTAGGATGATCTTTACAATACTGTTATGTCTTTTAACTCTTTGAGTCCCAAGGAACGCATCATACGTTCATAGGTTCCTACATAGAAGCCCAATGAACGCATGATACGCTGATTTATGACTTTCTTGACTACCCCCTGGGCCTGTGTTGCTAAACCCCCTGGGACTCAAAGAGTTAATGTGGCCAAAATATTTCACTTGTCTCTTTTTTATTTCACCTAGCAACTCATGCAGTACGTGAGGACATTCAGATGCTTGGACTCCAGAATTCACCATATCACGGTCATGGCGGGCCGTTCACTTCACTATTCAACCACCTGAAATCACAACCATTCAGCGCCAAGATAATCGAGGCCAGGCTGCAAGGTTTCCTTATAACGACGACTACAATGGAAGGTATTTGCAACTCTTAAGTTAACTTTTTGAATGGTGAACTTATGAGCACCAGTAGAGCATTTATTCGTCCAGTTCTGGGCAGACCTAACTTGGATGTGGCAGTGCGAGCACAAGTTACAAAAACTGTCAACAAAAACAAGAAAGCAGTAGGTGTTGAAGTAATAAACGATGGAAGGAAATATGTGGTCAACGCAAAAATTTAAAAAAAAATAAAAAGATCGTGCTGTGAATTCCCCACAAACGTTATGACGTTTCTCGGGGTGAGGTTCGATCGCAGCTTGTCATTCAGGGAACACGTTGACCATGTGATAACAAAAGCACGCAAAGGTCTATCTGCAATGAGGATTATGGCTGCTTCCAACATTGAGCAAAGACTACTAATACTTCTATTCTACGGTCTGGTCCTTTCCCCCATTGAATATGCTCTGGCCATCCTCACTGTCAGTGCTACCCAGATTGAACGACTCGAAAAGGTGCAAAATGAAGCCATGCGCATTATTTTGGGATGTACTAGAGACACATCCTGTGGAGCAATGAGGTATCTACTTGACTTTCCAACAATGAACCAAAGGATCAGGATGTGGAGGGCTCGGGCATATCTCAAAATATGTGCTGATAAGAAACACCCACTGCATCAAGCGCTTTTTAGTGAAAAGGGCGACAGACTGAAGAGGGGGAAATCGTGGCTAGGTCGGGCAGAAGATGTTATTAGGCAAATATGCAGCCTAACCGACATCATACCTGGTGCAGAATGGATACCTGTGCCTCAGGCGTTTATTTGTATATTTTCCTGTATTGTCACACTCAACAGGCGATGTAGAGAAGAGAATCCTGTTGCTGTTAATGCAGAGGTCAACGCTCTCATCGGTGAAAATTCAGACGAAGCAGATGCAATAATCTATACAGACGGATCCGTTATACGCCAAAGAAGAAGCGCATGGGCATTTACAGCACGCTCAGCGGGCAGAACTGTCAAAGAAGCCAACGGCGCCTTCTCCATGACAACCAGCAGCATGACGATGGAGGTGATGGCAGTGACACAAGCGCTTGTCTGGCTTGAAACACAAAAATACACCCGCGTGTGTATACTCAGTGATTCAATGAGTATGATCCGGAGGGTTCAGGCAGGTTCAGTGCGAAGACAATGGCTTGAATCATTACAGAAGTCCACTGTCCGTGGAGTCACCTTTATTTTTGTTCCGGGACACGCAGGCGTCGATGGAAATGAAAGAGCTGACAGGTTGGCTGGATCCGCTATAACTACCGACGGTCAGCCTATGGATCATGCTGATATTATCAATGCCCTCAGAGAAATGGGAAGGATAGACGACTTTGGTGGCAGTGAATCCACATCACTCGCCAGAATAGCAGACTTGGGAATTAAGATCGGCACAGCAAAAAACGAGACGCACACCAGCTACGCCAGAAGACTTGTTAATCAACATAGAACTGGTACTATTAGCCATCGGACGTTGGGGTTCATACTGAGGGGAGGATCTGAGCACCTATGGACATGTCCGGAGTGCAATGAGGATAACCCAACTAACTAACTAACTAACTAACTAACTCATGTTATCTGGTATCTAGCCCAGGAAACATCTGGAAAGTTTAAAGATCCCAGAAATAGCAGATCTTCCGGTTGGGCAGAATCTTCAGGATCATATGTTTTTCGACATTTGTGTCAGGATATCAAGAACTGGTGGAGTCAGCAGCAGTTCAAGTGGTTTGACTCAGGTTTTCTGAGCTCCCCTTTCAATTTAAAAGTGCTGGCTTTTATAAGCACAACAATGGAGACAAAGGAGAAGGACTGGCCTGACCTGTCCTAACATTTTATTGAGATAATGCCCAACAATATTCTTATGTATATCTTTAACTACGCCGAAGAGACTAAGGTGGAACTAGCGGACAGAAACAGGGGAGACAACGGCTTCACTTGCCTGCCCTCCACCATGAGACCAGAGAGCCTTGGTATAATCAGTATAAAATGTGCAGACTGTTTGACTATCCTCTGATCTACACTAACTAGCGGTCCAGGAAGAGGGAGAAGTCTTGATACGAGGTGTTCGAGTGTAAGAAGATTGTCAACGCTAACTCTCTGCAAGATGTGGGCAAAAGTTCACAGAGAAGGGACCAGTCCGCCTGCAAGCAACACAGATATGACTCTCACGAGTACTGGGAGTGTCTGATTAAAAACAGAGCTTTGACCATCTACCACCCAGACAGGACATGCAAGATGGGTCCTAAGGGGGATCCAAAGGCTGTGGTGGATCCCCAGGTGAGAGTACAAGGGATATCTGGACTCTGTGTGGCCGATTCTACATTGTTTATCTGTAACCAATTTGTTAAAGTGATATTTCTTTATTCTACAAATTAAATATTGCAAAGATGTTAGAGTTGTTAGGATACTATTACCTTTGCTTCTTCTGAAAGAAGATGGCAATATGGTTAGGACATTAGTCAGTCTAATTATGAAACAAGACGGTAGAGTGATTAGGAAATTAGTCACTAGGATATAAGTCACTTTACTGATGAAACAAGATGGTAGAGTCATTAGAATATTAGTCCCTCTATTGATGAAACCTGTGGTAGAGTGATTAGGATATTAGTCACTCAAATTATAAAACAAGATGGTAGAGTGGTTATGATATTAGTCACTCTAATTGTAAAACAAGATGGTAGAGTGGTTATGATATTAGTCACTCTAATTGTAAAACAAGATGGTAGAGTGGTTGGGATATTAGTCACTGTCATGAAGTGGCTTCAGTTATATATATGTGTGTGTGTGTGTGTGTGTATATATGTATATATATCCCCAAACCCCATAGTTAATAAATAAAGTCTAGAATGTTCTGCACCATAGAAATATATGACATGGAATTTAAATGTGTTGCTGGGGATTCAATCAATCTATGGTAAGGGTGGGAAAAAATGTAAACGTCACTCCTTACCGACACCTCAACCTAACCACGCATTTGAATGGATAACATCATGGGAGAAGGTTAACATTGGAGAGTTTGGTTATAAAACGTAAGAATAATTAGAAAATAAATTATCTGGACCTGTAAAGAATTATAAAAAAGATATAGGAATAGTTCTTTGTAAATAGCGAGAGCAAATTCTTTGATTCTGATATCAACTCTAGAAAAAAAATTAGAAAAATTGATAAACACGGTCATCGTGAACAAAGAGATAGTTAACAGTTTCAGTAGATGTTTATAATAAAAATATATCTTGGATTTTTCATAATTGATGGCTGTTGATAAATATTAAAGTCCTGTAAGTATTAACAGTTAAAGAAGGTGAAGCCAAACAACTAATATTATTAATATGAACTAGGCATGTTCTTTGCCATTGAAAGTTATTTTAGCGGAAGACGAATGGAAGCGACAAAGCAGACCGGATGTTTACCTTTGGGTGGGCGGTGGTTAAACTAATAGACTAAGCTTTTTTTTAAAGGTGAAGTCGGAATTGATTTAACTAAGTAATAGTTAAGTAAAACTATTAGCCTGTTGAGTGAAATTCTATAGATACTGGTTTAGAACAGATATATATACATATGTATGAATATGTGTACTTTATGATGTAATTCATTTCATTTTGAATTGAGTTCGTTTGATGTTGGTGAGAACATCTGAAGTTTGAATTATTTACTTTGTGTATCAGAACTTGTTTGATTTCTGCCATTGGCGTAAAAGCACAACTTTGTGTAGTTTTAAATAGCTACCTTTAGTTTTCTGTTTTGTTCATTCGTTAAGAATATTTTAATGAAATAAATATCTTGTGATGAGTGTGTTGTAATAAGAATCTTAAATAATATCTGAAACTTTGGTTGGTGATAATAAGAAAAATTTAATGTTTGTCTTAATCTTAAGATGAGAAGTAAAAATTATGACACTGAATAATTGTTTGCATTTTATGATATGTAAAAGTAACATAGGAAAGAGGGTTGGCACTTGTATGCCGTATTCCTTATATAAGTAAACCGCATTATTAGTGAAAGTTTCTTGGGGTCAGTATCTATTAAAGCAAGGTCACTCTAATTAGGTAAATAGCCAACGACTTAACTCAATGTTGAAGATGAGATTAAAGTTGACCACCTAATTCCTTGCTTCGGGATAAGAAAACTCAGAAAATCAATTCTTTTCTTCTTGGATTTCCCTAGAGTAGTTTCACAATTCGAGCCATAGATTCTGACTAATTCTATCCTGTGCTTTATGACAGTCACTCTAATTATAAAACAAGATGGTAGAGTGGTTGGGATATTAGTCACTCTAATTATAAAACAAGATGGAAGAGTGGTTGGGATATTAGTCGCTCTAATTATAAAACAAGATGGAAGAGTGGTTGAGCTATTAGTCAATCTAATTATAAAACAAAAATGTAGAGTGGTTTACAGCAGATGAACACGAAGAAGAAAAGCCCCTGAAGCTAATTAACAGACTCTGCAACCTCTCAGCCACACCCCTACCAATGAAACACATTCAAGCAAAGACTGACCTGTTCTGGAAGCAATGACTCTAACCTCTCAGCCACACCCCTACCAATGAAACACATTCAAGCAAAGACTGACCTGTTCTGGAAGCAATGAGCACAAGTACTGGAGATGTACAAGATGATCATGGTGACAATGCCCACGGCCATGGGCCACATGTAAGGATCGGTGATCAGCTGGAATTCGCCCCACAAAACTGTGGTCCACACCAGGACCATAAACAAGGCTATCAAATGGGTCCATGTGTTCATCATCTCATTGTGCAACTGAAACACAAGATTGATACAGGTGAAGGTGTTATCTCCACAATGGAGTTTTATCTTGCAAATTTCAGCAGAAAGTTCTGGTTGTTCATCCTCTTATATTTTACAAATCTGACTTATGTGTGTGCAGATTGTTGGTTCCTCACCTCTCAGACAGACACACTCCAACCTCAAAGGAAACACTCCCTAATAAGTTGATTGTACAACATGCTTGTTCAGGAGGTAGTAGGTCTATTTCCCCTCCGCCCCAATAATGGGGCCCTAGGACTCACATGGAGGTCAACGGAGTCTGATGGCAGTGCATCCACAGCTGTCTCTGGAAATATTTTGTAGTGAGGCCCTAATCTCTTCCATGGCAGACCACAAATATGATCTTGTTTCTAAAACGCACCAAAAATCGAACCTTGGTATGCTGAAGAATGTGAAACTTGCTTCAATCAGGTGGCAACTCCACAGTGAAGGCCGGCTGCAATAGATCGCAATCATGCTGTCTCATGTCCTGGTTGTACACTCTCTCAGACTGTTGCCTGTCCATCTCTTGATGTTGTTGTCCTCCTATATGTATCGTTAACTACCTCTTGCTCTCTTGTCTTCAACCTTTCCCTCCAGTATGGTTTTTAAAGTGTCATGTGTGTCTCTTAATGTGGCCAAAGTATTTCAATTGTCTTTTTTTTTCCAGTAATTCTCTTTTCATCTGTAGTCTTTCCAGAACTTCTGCGTTGGGCTGTTTTTGTTTCCAAGAAATACAACCTATTCTTCTGTATACCCACATCTCCAGAGACTCACTTGTTGATTTCTAAATCAAATATAGTAAGCAACAGTTTTAAAAGGTGAGGTGACCATTTTGCCCTGATATCTTAGAATAAATTTAGGTACCAATTTTATTAGAGAACTTCAAAGAAAAGGGACAATAAATTGAGTAAAGTTGAAATCTGGTTTCCGTTGGCCAGTTACTGAGTTGCGACACTGTAAGCTGTGAATAAAAAAGTAAATGTTGATTATCTGTGCTACCACAGTGAGTGTTCTGAATTTATATTGACAAATTTAGGAAATAGTGAGGGGCTGATTGCCACAGAACTGCCAGTGTGTCTTATGCAATAAAGTATACGCAACTGCTGGTGTGTCATGGCTGTGGCTTCCATCAACTATGAATAGGAATTATGGTCAAAGGCTGTAAGTGTTGGCACCTCTGGCGATTGCCTCATGTACTTTACGAATGTGTGAGCGTTGAATTTTGCTGACTGACTTTTCACATGGGGTTCCACGGTCCCAGTCTAAAGTGAAAAAAAAAAGAATACACCCACTGCGTCCTAACAAGCATTTCATATTTCTTCTTCTTCGTCTTCTTCGCGTTCACCGGCTGTAAACTCCAGCAGAAAGGTCTGGTTGTTCGTCCACTTCTGGACTGCAGTCCTGTTTCAGAACCTGAGTGTAGTGTGTGCGTCCGTTTGACAGATCTGACTCATTTTTGTGCAGACGGTTGGTTCCTTGCCCCTCAGGCAGATGCACTCCGACTTCAAAGGAAGCTCCCAATTAGTCGACTCTTACGACTTGCTTTTGGGTAGGCGGTGGGTCTATTCCTGTTTTCCCTATAACAGGGCCCCGGAACCCACACGGGGAAAGCATTTCTTACAAGGTGACTAATCAGGGGATTTTTGTGCGACGTCAGAGAGCATCTGCCTGAGAGGTGAGGAATCAATAGTCCAAATACAAATAAGCCAGATCTGTAAAACGGATGTGAACGCAAAAACTCAAGTTCTGGAGCAATACCAAAGTCTAGAAATGTAAGAACAACCAGAAATTTCTGCTGGGGTTCACAGCCAGTGAATTGTAAAAAGAAGATTTGAGGCAGCAGTGGCTATTTTGTGGTTTTCCTTGGCACAGAACTGAAGCAATTATTGGATGACCTGTTTGTGATGAAGCTGGAACCACAACTGACAGCCTGATAGTAATGACAGTCCTGTAGTGACCTGCATGTGACTATATGTCTGCAGCCCCAAAGGCATGAAAAGGGTGCTTTACTTTTTTCATTTACCAAACGTTATCACCTCGCCTATATCCCACAACACAATCACAACTTAGAACATTGGTTCCCAGTTAGATAAGATCTGTGGACCCTCTCTTATTTGTAAAGGTCTATGTGTACCCCCATACGTTTTTAACAGTAATATGTCTTCTTCTTCTTTGTACGCTCAGGTTAGACCGTCAGGTGGGCTGCCTCTAGGAATTTGCATGTCAGTTGCAACAGCTTGTTCTGCACACTTTGCTCTCAAGGCTAGGTTTCTCTTCATAGCTGTAAGTATTAGTGAGCAGGCCTGCAGAAGATGCTTAGGTGCTTGTGATTACATCTGACAGGCACAGTGTGAACAGTTTTTATTCTATGCATGTGGTAGTTCAGCATGCAGTGTCCTCTTCTTATATGGACAATTGTTACATGTTTTTTTCTGTTGAGTCTTCTGAGGCAGTCTTAGGAGTGTTAACTTTTGGTTTGTTCTCACCCCAATTTCTTGTATTCCCCTTGATAAGTATTTTTATATCTGGTAATAACAATCAATGGGTGTGTTGTTTTTCCTCTTTATTCCATATTTTGCAAATTTTGTCCACAAACTCATTTCCTGGTATGCTGCAGATGACCCGGATCCACTAAAGAATGATTTAATATTTTATGATAGTTTATTTAGATGGCAGTATTATCTGGAGAGAAAAAAAAAGACTAAATCTACATTAGAATTGTGCGCGTACACGCATACAGAAAAAAAAAATATACAAAAGGCTGAGTTTTTGTGTGTGTGTTGTGAAACATCCTTTAAATTCATTCAAGGACCACCAATTGAAAACCAATGACTTAGAACTTTTAAGAGATTCACTAAGAGAAAACACACCTGAAAGATACTGAGGCAGTAGCTGGACCAGGGCTGGTGCAATGGCCTGAAACCAGTTTTCACATGTGGCTCGTGGAACAGCAATGGCACTTCATCTCTGCTGAGGGTGGCTTGAGGGCGGTTCATGGTGGTTCCCCCTTGCTGTTGAAAATGTATAATGTTAAGCATTACAATGATCATGTGACTGAATATTCTATATAACACTATAATTAAGAGAATTAACAAGCAAACTAGAAAATCAAAATGAGTCTCTGGAGACGAAAATATTGTTAATTTAACCCTTTCACCACGAGAAGCTGAAAAGATTTTTTTTAAAAGAGTTCTCAAGACCATCTTCATCGCAAATCAGATATGACCATAAGTGCTCTGATCTTCTCCTAAGTATGACTTGAGGTGTTTTTAGGCTAACAATTTGCTATGGTTTGATGTAAGACTGATGAAATAATGAGTAGCTCTGACTTAAGTTTTCTTTTAGTTCCAACCGGTATACCCAGGGTATGCAATATATTCAGTAAAAAACTGATATGAGGATATACGACACAGAAGAATAGGTCATAATTCAAGAAAACAAAACAAAAGCAATCAAATGTGGAGGTCTTGGAGAGACAAGGAATAAAAAGAGAGCTGCTAAAAGAAATTGGCTATCCTCCAAATAACAGTCCCAAATTATCGAGGCTAGGAAAAAACTGTAACAGGGCTTCAATGTTTGAGACTGCTGCCACAAAAACTGCGCTAAATATTAAGTGACTAGTGCCACTGCGGTAACATCGCATCAAGGTAAGTTCCATCCATAACCCTTGTTATTGTCGCGGTTCCACTGTTGTGACAGATTCTGGTAGCGGTGTAACTGCAACACTCCTTGTCCTAAGACTAACCCTAAACCTAGTACCCAGGGTAAAAGTTAAACCTAATACCCAGGGTAAAAGTTAAACCTAATACCCAGGGTAGAAGATAAACCTAGGACCCAGGGGAGATGTTAAACCTAGGACCCAGGGGAGAAGTTGAACCTAGCACTCAAGTGTCGGAGCTGTTGACACCCTCGATGATTTGGGAACGTTATTTGCAAGAGTGTTTCCCATGGTATAATCACAGGAAGTCAGCAATTTACATATGATTAAGGGCCTGTTAGGGTATTTTCTTAGCCTCAATAATTTGGGACCGTTATTTGGAGGATAGCCAAGAAATTTAAAAATGGGAGGAACAAATATTTCAGCCACATTAAAAAAAAAAAAAAAAAAAACTTTTAAAAACCATATGGGAAAGAAAAGTTGGAGGCAAGGGAGAAAGAAGTAGAGGATAAAAGTGAGAAGATAACATCCAGATACACAAACATCAGTGAGAGAGTGCATAGACAAGATAACAGACTAAGTGGTGGAGATTCAGTGCACAAATAAATGCAATAAAAGGAGGTAAAGGACCCTTTTCCACGCCTTCATGTGTATTGGGCATATAGGGCTATACCTAAATTTTAAAGACCAAGTGTTAGTGGGTGTGTGATGTGGTCAGCATCACAGGGCCGCTTTTACTTCCCAGGACTGTACCTGATACCCACTCAAGGCTCGGTCAACCTGATAGACAAGGTCATTTTTTAAAAGTCCAGCTTTCTTAGTACCCGAATCCGTGATCTTCAGGCAAGCATCTAGCCACTACACCATGGCGGCTCTAAAAAAAATCCAGCTCCTTTTGGATTCAAACTGCTGAACTTTGGATCTGCAAAAGGTTGACTAGCCACTACACCATGGCAATTCCTTAAGTAATGATAATATATTTAAAATAGTATGAAATGTATAGATAAATTCTTTTAGAGAAAATGTCTATACATGGTTAAAGGGGACCTCAGTCCCCTTAAAAAATTATGGGAAAAGGGGGTAGGGCTCTGAGTCAGCTAAACTATAGGGCCAGGGTCTCAAGGAACCAAGAGACTGGATTCCCAAAGTTTCAGTGCATATGTTCAACAGTGCTGATCTCTTTATTTTGTTGAACTGCTAATCAATTCAGTATCATAAATTTAAAATTGTCAATATGGTATAATAGTTTTAATTTATTAAACTTGAACTTAATTTTCCCATCAATCTTTACTTTGTGTCTGATTAGAAATGTAAACTACTAAGTAAATAATTAGTAATTTTCATTATAATATAATTTTAATTATAAATAATAGGATAATCGTCAACTGTTCCTTTAAATGGGAGATACAGTGTCAACTAAGACTGTTATTTCACCATTTGATAATTGTGTACTGTATAAGTCAATATATACGACTAAGACCATTTAAAATTAGTGTTTACACTCTTGGTAGGTCTTAGAGTGGAGACTTATTTTAAAAATTTTTCTTAAGTGCTTAGATTAGGTCTTTGTTCTTATTCTCTGACTAATTAAATTAATTATAAAATAACTAATTTAGTGACTATTGTTCGATATATATATATAATAATAAATACAATTTCTCTTTCAAAAAGCATACAATTTATGAATGTAAAAAATTATCAACGAATAAAGGAATTACTCGATAAAAACTTGACAAACGAGAATTTAGTTTGTAATCGTCACAGGGCGTGAATCGGCACTAAAACTAAATCAAGTGAATTGAGTTTACACACAGCCGGCATCCACTCACACAATCCGCCTGCAACACGACTACAGCATCACAACAAATAAAGTAAACAGTCTACCAAACTCCTACACCTGGAGCTACTCACAGTGTTTGTTTCCCCGACAGATTGTGTTAAAGAGAAGCAAAGGCTAGATCCATGTCTGTGAGAGAGTCTACAGGGGTATGTATGAGAAAGTCCTGCGGTGAGTGGTGGTGGTGAATATACCTGCTGTTTCCTGGGCTCCTTTTTAACAAACTCAAGGACGTCAAGGGAAGTTGGCCAGCAGACGTGCTGCCGCTTCAGTCGTTGTCACTTTCGTATTTCTAGACTAAGTCATTTTTATTACCTATCCTGTTCAACCCCTCTAAGTAATAAATGAGATTATATTTTGTCTTTTATGATACTTCATAATATTAATATCAGGATCGCAGAACCTGAGGGTTTCGGCCAGAGCTTTTTCTTAGAAAAATTACTATGAATGGCATGGCACCACTAGTATTGGAACTCTGCGCAGGCTGCTGAGGATGGGGATGGAGCGTGAATGGGAATGTCCCGAGTGCTGTGATGTAAATTCTTGACTCAACTCTATTAACTCCTATAAAAAAAAAAGTGCCGGTTACTCACACAAAAAAGTGTCTGAAAAAGTGCCGGTACTCACAACGTGTCTATTGCAATAGGACTGAAAAAAATGTTTACATAAAAAGGTGCCGGCACTCATCACAAAGTCTCTATTGCAGCGCTGGAAAAAAAAATATCTTAACATTTAAAAAAAAAAAGTACTTCGTACCGCGGCGTACAGCTTGAAAAAAAAAAAAAAAACAATGAACACCTTTTGACAAGTGTGTCATTTACTAGGTATTCTATTTAGAAGGGCCATCATCATCATGTGCCAGGCCAATTAGCGTATGCGTTCATGCATCTCCACAGATCACGATCTCTGGTTGCCTGGAACAACTCTCTTATGGATACTCCACCCCCCCCCTCCCCCACCTTTGTCATCGTTTCAGCCCATCCAACGTCATCTCTCTTGGTTTGCCTCTACCTCTTTTTCCACTGATCTTTCCAGTTGTCACGGTGTTCTCCAGTGTGTCTCTTCTCATAATGTGGCTAAAGAACAGAGTTTGTCTCGATTGTTGCGTATAGAGATCTACTTTCATTAGCTTTTTTTCAAACAATAGTTGTTAATTACTCTGGCCGTCCTAGGTATTCGTAACATTCGTCTCAGAAACCACATCTCTGTTGCTTCTAAATTCTCCTTAATTTTTTCACTGACATTCCAAGATTCGCTGCCATAAAACAGAACAGGTTCTATGTAACATTTTAGCACTCTCTTTCTGACTTTAAATGAGAGCGATTTATTACATAAGATATTTTTCATTTTCTGAAATGCAGCTTTTGCCTGACCTATTCAGCTTTTAATCTCTGTCACACATTTTCCATCTGATGATTTGATTGTTCCTAGATATTTGAATTTATTGACTTGGTTAAGTCTATTTCTTTAATTGAGATATCGCAATTTGGAGTTATCTCTTCTTTGATATAACCATTACTTCCGTTTCCTTAATATTCAGTTATAAGTCCTTTCTTAGCTCTCTGAGTCCCAAGGAACGCATCATACGTTCATGGCTTCCTACCTAGAAGCCCAATTAACCCATGATGCGCCGATTTTATGACTTTATTTACTACCCTCTGGGCCTGTGATGCTAAATCCCCTGGGACTCAAAGAGTTAGCACTCTCCATCCCCACAATCTCCAGCAGTTGTTGCAAATTAGTTGCATTTTCAGCTATCAAAGCTATATTCAAAACATATAGGTGCTTAGGTGCAAACTTCAACTGCTCCAATATGCTGAGAGAAGAAATACAATCTATAATACAATCTGGAAATAAAGTATACTATGCCCTTCAACATCTGCTAAAGTTAAAATGTCTGTCTCGCATCACCAAAATCAAAAATATATAAAACGGTGATAAGACCAGTCCTGTTATATATCTCTAAATCTTTGAGCACAACTTAAAGAAATGAAGCCTTACCACAGGTTTTCGAAAACAGCGTCTTACAATGAATCTTTAGACTTATCAAAGATGCAAACAGAGGGGAATGGAGAGTGAGAAGCAGCAACGAAATCATAATCTGTTTAGATCACCACTGGTATCATGAGAGCTAATAGACTGAAAGGGTTGGGGCATTTTGAGAGAATTTCAGATGACAGAGAAGTGAAAACTGTATACACAAGGGACATGAATGGTCGTAGACCACGAGGTAGACCAAGAAAACAATGGAGAGATAATATCCAGACATACCTGCAAACACTTGGTGTCACCTATTAGAAAGAGAAGGTCAACCAGGGAGATGGATTGATGCAGGCAATGAACCTCAGGGGCTCGGAATGAAGAAGAAGAAGAAGAAAAAGAAAATTATATCGTCTTCAAAACGCAAATTGTTTATATAGTATCCTCCAACTCTTATTCCTGCTGTCTCTTTAATGTTCTAAAAATTGTTTCACAATACAGACAGGAAAGGTTTGGGGACA